TCTGTCTGTCTATCCATCTATATCTTGTCAAGCTGTCCTGTCTGTCTTTCTGTCTGTCATCCATCCATCCCTCTATCCATCCTTAGTAAGGCCACACCTAGAATCCTGCATCCAGTTTTGGTCACCACATTATAAAAAAAAATGTCGAGACTCTAGAAAAAGTGCAGAGAAGAGCAACCAGGAGGATGAGGGGACTGGAGGCTGAAACATACGAAGAACAGTTGCAGGAACTGGGCCTGGCTAATCCAGGGAAGAGAAGGACCCGGGGAGACAGGAGAGCAGCCTTCCGGTATTTGAGGGGCTGCCCCAGAGAGGAGGAGGAAGGGGTTCAAGCTATTCTCCAAGGCCAGACAAGGAACAACGGATGGAAACTGAACAAGGATTGATTCAACCTGGAACTAAGGAGAAATTTCCTGAGCGTTAGAACAATTAACCAGTGGAACAGCTGGCCACCAGAAGTTGAGGGTGCTCCATCACTGGAGGTTTTCAAGAAGAAACCGAACAGCTGCCAGTCTGAAATGGTATAGGGTCTCCTGCTTGAGCAGGAGGTTGGACTAGATGACCTCCAAGGTCCCTTCCAACTCTGTTATTCAGTATGCTTCCAGAAGCTGAGGGTGCTCCATCGCTCCGGGTTTTTAAGAAGAGATTGGACAAAAGCATTTCAACCAACCCCTCAATCAGAATAGAGCTGGAAGGGGCCTTGGAGGTCTTCTAGTCCAGCCCCCTGCACAGGCAGGAGACTCTAGTGTCTAGGCCATTTCAAACAAGTGGCTGTCCAGTCTTTTCTTTTCTGCTCCCTAAGCTCAGTTGCTTTCTTGATTTAAACCAAGGGTCTTCGAACTTGGCGAGTTTAAGACTTGTGGACTTCAACTCCCAGAATTCCTGAGCTAACATGACTGGAGGAGGAATTCTGGGAGTGGAAGTCCACAAGTCTTAAGTTTGTCAAGCTTGAAAACCCCTGGAATAGATAGATAGAGAAAGAGAGGTAGAATAGAGAGAGAGAGAAAGGGAAATAGATAGAATAGATAGATAGAGGGAGTGAGAGAGAGAGAAAGATAGAGAGAATAGATGGATAGAATAGATAGAATAGAGAGACAGAGAAATAGATAGAATAGATAGAGAAAGAGAGGTAGAATAGATAGAGAGAAAGAATAGACCAAGGGTCTTCAAACTTAGCAACTTTAAGACTCGTGGACTTCAACTCCCAGAATTCCTGAGCTAACATGATTGGAAGGAGGAATTCTGAGAGCTGGAAGTCCACAAGTCTTAAAGCTGTCAAGTTTGAAGACCCCTGCTCTATTCTCTATTCTAGTCTTAAATTCTTATTCTATTCAAATTCTTATTCTTTTCTATTCTTTTATTCTAAAATTCTTATTCAAATTCTTATTCTTATTCTATTCTATATTCTATTCTAAAAATCGTATTCCTATTCTATTCTATTCTTATTCGATCGTCTATTCTCCATTCTCTATTCTATTCTAAAATTCTTATTCAAATTCTTATTCAATTCTATTCAAATTCTTATTCTATTCTTCTATTCTATATTCTATATTCTATTCTATTCTAATTCTTATTCTATTCTTGTTCTATTCTCTATTCCAAGGGTCTTCAAACTTGGCAAGTTTAAGACATTGTGGACTTCAACTCCCAGAATTCCTGAGCTAACATGACTGGAGGAAGAGGAATTCCGGGAGCTGAAATTCACAACTCTTTTAAAGCTGCCAAGTCTGAAGACCCCTGATTTAAACGGCCGCTCACAAACTGTTGTAAGTTGAGGACTCCTTGCACTGTCTGGGGCCAGGTGATTTAAACCTGTGGCCTTCCCCAAAAAGCAGAATCCATGGGCTGTACTTGCTAAAACGACTGCGTGATTCAGCTGAAGAGATTTACTTAAACCACCCCGGTGAAAAAAAGGTGGCGAAATGTGACCCGGTGCACTTAACCACTGCTTTGCTTAGCAACGGGAACGCTTCTTCGCAGTTCTAGTCGTAAGTTGAGGACTATCGGAAGGCTTTGTGCAGCAGCAGCAGAGAGGATGGCTTAGATACATTGTCTGCTACTGCCCTCTAGTGTCCAGATTTTCAGAACTTGTTGGAACTTCAAGTTTTCTTTTTCTCTCTATTATTATTATTTTATTTATTTTTATTATTACATTTTGTATATTATAGCATCATATATATTGGTTCACAGATGACTTATCGTCTGGAAACAAATACTGTCGGGGTAAGACACTACTCCTAACACCCCTTGGCGGGGTGGGTTTAATGCCTTAAAATGGCTTCTACCAGGGGTGGCTAACCTTTTTGGGCTCCTGTGCCCAAAATTGTGCGTGCACTTATGCTCACGCGCTAGCGTGACAGCACCCAGAAGGCAATACGTGCGCCTCCCTTGCCCCCTGTGCCTACATGTGCAATTCCTCCACCCTCTTACTGCACTGCGACTCCCAGCTGATTTTCGGCCAGTTTGAGGCCTTTTTCAGCCTCCCAGGCGTGAGGAAAGCCTGCAGAGGCTTTCCTCACGCCTGGGAGGCCGAAAAAGGCCTCAAACCGGCCGAAAATCAGCTGGGAGGCGTGAGGTAAGCTTGTTTGCGGCTTTGTGCGCCAGTGGCAAAAACGGCTCTGCGTGCCAGCTGCGGCACGCGGGCCGTAGGTTCGCCCTCACGGGCTTCTACTGTACATCACAGTGGAGTTGCCATGGTAACGGCTTCCCAGGACTCCACAAGGGGGCTCCCTCTTGTGGCGAGAGGGAAGAACTGCGACGCTGCGCAAGAGACAGTACAACAGTGTGAGTCCCAACTCGAGGATTTTCCTGTCTTAATACAGGATTGGGATAAATCAATACCCGGGCAATGGCGGGTTATCGGCTAGTGGTACTGGCCTGGGGGAACCCAGAGAGGGATGGAGCCCATCAAAGGGCTAGTGTGATCTGCTGTCATCGGGATGCGGGGGGGTGGGAGTTGGGTTTTATTTATTTATTTATTTATTTTTCCAGATTTTGTTCTATTGTACATTGCGAATTTGATTCTTTTCGATAGTTTTTATTGTTTTTTATTTTTATTTTTTGTTTTAAATATGGTTATACATTGTGTAAGCCCCCTCGAGTCGCCATGGGCGATTGGCGGCAATATAAACGAAACAATTAAATAATAAATAGTTGTCACTAAACAAATGATTGTTAAGTGGAGGGCTACCGGTAGCGCTCCACTCACAAGAGTCCACTTAGTGACCGTTCGAAGTTACAACAGCACTGAGGAAAAAGGGACTTGTGACCGTTTTTCACACTTACGGCCGTGGCAGCATCCCCGTGGCCACATGATTTGGATGCTTTGACAACTAACTCACATTTATGACGATTGCAACGATTCCCCCTTTGTGATATTTGGACAGACAAAAGGCCACGGGGAAGCCAGATTCGCTTAACGACCGTGGTACCAACTTTTAACTACTGCAGTGAGTCACTGAATAACTCCGGCAAGGAAGGTTGCGAGATGGGAGTAAAACTTCCTTAACAACAGTCTCGCTTAGCAAGGGAAATTTTGGGCTCCACAAGTCCCAAAAACTTTTTAAACACTCATTCTGGGTTTCTGTACCAGCCAGAGGTTTTGTGATAAGATCTTTTGGAGGCATGGCTGCAAATCTGGAATATACTAGATACAGATACAGATAATCAGAGTCAGAAGGGACCTTGTAGGTCATCTAGTCCAACCCCCTGCCCAAGCAGGATATCCTACACCATTTCTGACAGATGGCAGTCCAGCCTCTTCTTGAAAGTCTCAAGTGATGAAGCTCCCACAACTTCAGAAGGCAACTTCTGTTCCATGGGTTGATGGTTCTCCCTGTCAGAGAATTCTTCCTTATTTCCAGATTGAATCTCTCCTTGTTCAGTTTCCATCCATTATTCCTTGTCTGGCCTTCCGGTGCTTTGGAGAATAGCTTGACCCCCTTCCTCCTCCTCTCTGGGGCAGCCCCTCAAATATTGGAAGGCTGCTCTCCTGCCTCCCCTGGTCCTTCTCTTCCGTAGACTAACCAGGCCCAGTTCCTGCATCTGTCTGTCATATGTTTTAGCCTCCAGTCCCCTATTCAACCTGGTTGCTCTTCTCTGCACTTCTATTCAACATCTTTTTTATAGTGTGGGGACCAAAACTGGATGCAGGACTCTAGGTGTGGCCTTACTAAGGCTTTATAGTGTGGTATTAGTACCTCCCTTGATCTCGATTGTGTCCCTCTGTTAACGCAACTTAGGATTGCATTGGCTTTTTTGGCTGCTGCTGCACAACGTTGGCTCCTATTTAGCTGGTTGTCCACTAAGACTCCGAGATCCCCCTCCCAGTTCCTGCTATTGAGCCTGGTTCCACCCAGTCTATTATATGTGTCTTTTGGGTTTTTCTTGCCTGAGTGTAGGATTTCACTTTTCTCTACATTGAATTTATTTTTGTTAGCTAGATACAACTTCGGAAGCAACCCCCAAATTCGGGACGGGGGTCCCTTCCCCAAGGACCACCTACCTCCTCGATCATGGTGTCGACTGCTGCCGAAAGCTCCTCTTTGCTACATCCGGTCTCGACCATGTTTCGTAGCCGAAGACAATATTCCCGCATCTGTTGGAAAGAACAAAATATATGTTAGTATATCTTCCAAATTATAAACCATTCCAGACCTGTCCAGTCTCTTCTTAAAAACCTTCAGTAGTGAAGCCCCCACAATTCCTAGTGGCCAGCTGTTCCACTGGTTCACTGCCCTCACTTTTAGGGAAGTTTCTCCTTAATTCCACATGGCTTCTTCTTCTCTCCTTCATTCGTTTCCATCCCTTGTTTCTTGTCCTGTCCTCAGGTGCTTTGGAGACTAGCTCGCTTAACGACGGACTGCAAGTTTTGACCTTGGTGCCTGGTTTTAATGTCTGTGCTTTTAATAGATTTTATGTGTGCATCTGGGATATATTGATCGTTGTTTTAACTGACGGTTGGGAACATCCAGAGTTTGATATAAAATGGGCGGCTGTATAGTATAAATAAATGCTTTAAGGAGAGGTCGTCCTTGGCTTATACAAGAGGTCATTTAGTCTCCCGCTTGGGTGGGGGGTTGGACTAGATGACCTATAAGGTCCCTTACAACTCTGATTATCTGTTACCGGTTAGTGACTGTTCCAAGTTACAACAGCACTGAAAAAAAAAAAGACTTATGACTGTTTTGCAGACTTACAACCATTCACGTGATTGAAATTGGTGTGCTCGGCATGCAACTCAGAGTTATGACAGTCACTGTGTCCCTGGGGTCACGTGGTCCCCTTTTGCAACCCCTCTGACAAGGGGAGGGGGAACCAGATTCACTTAACGACCGTGCCATGAATTTGATAACCGCAGCAATTCCGCTTAACAAGAGCGGGAAGAAAGGTCGTAAAATGGGAGCAAAGACTCACCTAACAACCGTGTGACTAACTCAACGACTGCAGGGATTCGGTTAACAAACGTGTGGCCAGAAAAAGTCATAAGATTGGGGCATAACTCGCTCAAACCAAGGTGCCACTTAGCAACCGAATTTCTGGGCTCACTTGTGGTCGTAAGTCGAGGACTGTCAATAATATGAATGCACTATGCATACATTACATATATATTTATATGTAATGTACTTGGGCAGGAAAAAACAAAAGGACACATACAGACTGGGTGAAACCAGGCTCAATAGCAGGAACTGGGAGGGGGATCTCGGAGTCTTAGTGGACAACCAGGCTAAACAGGAGCCAATGTTGTGCAGCAGCAGCCAAAAAAGCCAATGCAATTTTAAGTTGCATTAACAGAGGAATACAATTGAGATCAAGGGAGGGACTAATACCACTCTATAAAGCCTTAGTAAGGCCACACCGAGAGTCCTGCATCCAGTTTTGGTCACCACATTACACAAAAGATGTTGAGACTCTAGAAAAAGTACAGAGAAGAGCAACCAGGATGATGAGGGGACTGGAGGCTAAAACATACAATGAACAATTGCAGGAACTGGGCCTGGCTAGTCTAGGGAAGAGAAGGACCAGGGGAGACAGGATAGCGGTCTACCGATATTTGAGGGGCTGCCCCAGAGAGGAAGAAGGGGGTCAAGCTATTCTCCAAAGCACCCAAAGGCCAGAGAAGGAATAATGGATGGAAACTGATCCGGGAGAGAACAATCAACCAATGGAACAGAAGTTGCCCTTGGAGGTTGTGGGAGCGCCATCACTTGAGACTTTCAAGAAGAGACTGAACTGCCATTTGTCCAAAATGGTGTAGGGTCTCCCGCTTGGGTGGGGGGGGTTGGACTAGATGACCTACAAACTCCCTTCCAACTCTGATTATCTGTCATCTGTTATATGTATGTATACGCATGTGTATATAATTATGGATTTTATATTTACGTATGCCTTAATGATATATTGACATTGTTTTTAACTGCTGGCTGAGAGCACTCAGAGTTTAATATATGATGGGTAGCTGAGTAAATGCTTTTAAATAAACAGCTAATTCACCACATAAATTGTTTGGGGGAGAAGCAACTCCGTGCAGAGGTCAGACGAGGAGGAAGAGGCAGCGAGCCCAAGAAATTAAGAGCGGGAGATCAAAGGCGAGGAAACCTAATTACAACTCATTTGCATTTAATGTAAATACTAGCTGACAAATCC